CGGGACGGGACGGGACGGGACGAGACAGAACGGGACAGGACAGGACAGGACAGGATAGGATAGGATAGGATAGAAAAGAGTAGGTCTAAGTAAGTATGGATATGGTAAAGGTAGCATTACAAACTACAGTAGCAAAGGTGAGCGTTTTAATAAACGCCACTGGCCCAACTGGGCAGCCACTTGGAAAAAGAATGCAATTAGATCCTTATCTCCCACCGCACACAAGAATAAATTCCACACCGACCAGGATAGTAAATGCAAAAGAAAATCAAATAGAAAATAATTTAGGGGTGCCTGGGTGGCTCAGTTGGTTAAGTGTCTGACTTAGGCTCAGGTCATGAGTTCTAGCCCCACGACAGGCTCTGTGTTGACAGCTCAGAGCCTGGAGCGAGCCTGCCTTGGATTCTGTGTCTCCCTCTCTAACCCTCTCCCACTTGCTTGCTCTCTCTCTCTCAAAAATAAATAAACATTAAAAAAAATTTTTAAAAGAACTTAATAAATTAAAATTTTAAGAATATGGTGAATTCTTCTATAAACTTAGTGTAAAGGGAAAGCTTTCTTTTTTTTTAACAAAGTTTATTTATTTTGAGAGAGAGAGAGAGAGAGTGCAAATGGGGAGGGACAGAAAGAGAAGGAAAGAGAGAATCCCAAGCAGGCTCCACGCTGCCAGTCTAGAGTTCAAACCCACAAATCTGTGAGATCATGATCTGAGCCAAAACTAAGAGTCAGATGCTTCACCAACGGAGCCACTCAGGCACCCCATGGGAAAGCTTTCTAATATTGACAAAGTCCAGAGACAATTAAAAAATATGATTGATAAATCTGACTACATAAATTTTTTTTAATTGTCTGGTAAAATCTTGCAAATTAGATTAAAACACTTGCAGCATATATCACAGTAAAGGGCTAATATCCATATATATAAAGAACTCTTAAAATTTGAGGGAAAATGGAACAAAACTCTAATACAAAAATTAGAAAAATATATGAACACATAATCCACAAAACTGTTGCAAAATAGTCATATATGCGAAGATGTTACAATTTGACATCACTCATAATTTAAGAAATGCAAATTACACTTGAATAACATTTCTCACTTATCTGATTGATTAAAATTTTTAAATCTAGGGGCGTCTGGGTGGCTTAGTTAGTTAAGTGTGGAATTCTTGATTTCTGTTCAGATCTTAATCTCATGCTTCGTGAGATCAAGACCCCAGTGGGCTCCATGCTGACAGTGCAGGCCGGCTTGGGATTTTCTCTCCCCTTCTCTCTCTGTCTCTCCCCCACTCGTGTGTGTGTGTGTGTGTAGTGTGCACACTCTCTCTTTTTCTCAAAGTAAATAAATAAAATAAACATTAAAAAAATTTTAAGTCTGACAATACATTCTGTTGGTGAGGCAGAGGGTGCTCTCGTGTATTTCTGTCGGACTGCAAATGGCTACAACCCTTTTGGCAGGGAATTTGAAAATATCTAACAAAACTACATTGACCTTTCGAGACAGGAATCCCATGCTAGGAATTCACCTTAGACACTACCAACATTATGAAAATACATATGCACATTCACAGTATCATTGCTTACAACTGCAAAATACTGGAGTCAATTTATATGCCCAAATAGAGGAGGATGTGTTGAATAAACAGTGGCATAGCCATACAATTGAGCACTATGCAGCAATAAAAAGTATGAGGGGCATTTCTAGGAGCTGACATGGAATGATTTCCAGGATATGCTACTGTTAAGTGAAAAAAGTCAAATACAAAGGATTATCTTTCATGTAAGAAAGAAGAGTAAATAAGAAAATATTCATTTTGTAAAAGTATAAACCAGAAATGACTGAGATGGGTCACCCATAGGAGACGGGTTAAAATAGAGCGGAAATCAGAGGGAGAATGGGGATGAGTTGGGGAGAATGACAGTTCTCTGAATGTACCGTTTTTCATAGTCTCTTCGTGTTATAGTAATTAAAGTCACCAAATGTCAGACTCAATTCTCTTAAAATCACAAAATTATTACCTGGCATGATGCCTGCTATTTCTTGGTTTTCAGATTCTGAACTAATAGTTCATTTTCTAATGCACTAACTTTTCTGAGAATCTACCATGTGCAGAGTGCTATGCTAAGTGCTATGAAGACTGGAAAACAGATGTAGATACTGTAATTAATCTTAAAAACACTGTGTTCCAAATAACATCTAATATACAAAGCAAACCAAAATATTATGGGTGTACAGAAAGTTGGAGGAAAGGCAAAAAAGAGCAATTCTCAAAATAAAATCTGAAATTTTATGGTATGAAAACCGTTTGCTATAAACATACATCTTAATCCTAACTCCCTTATTGTTTCATGCCATAGTTTCTCCTAAAAATAACATCAGACATGTTAAAATTAAAGAGAAAGACATACTAGCATCATTAAAACAATATTGAGGAATGTAAGTCGAGTAAAGAAATGGAGAAACAGTTGAAAGGGAGACGAAGTTAAATAAATAAAAGCAACAACTTAGGGGGGAACGTTATTGGTGAACTACCAGAAAAAAAAGGAAAAGCACTAAGTCACAGAGACCTTACTATCTAATTAAAAAACAAAAACCAAAACACAAAAAACAAAAAAGCAGACCAGTTCATCAATTGAATGGGTTGCCAGACATTGAAGAACCTGTTTCCATGACCTCTTGTAACACAAAATGCAATAAATGTCTACATAGTGTAAGCTCTGGTGGTAGGGTCATCGCTTACTTACAGCTGAGAACATTTCCAACTGATACACAATCTGTGAACCACATCGGATGTGACGGTTTCAAGCACCTTAACGATATAATTTTATTCACCTAACTAGTTCCATCAGCTGGAATTAAAAATAAGTAAGACAAGGTAAACAAACACCATTTGTGTTTGTAGAAGCTGGACACCTTGGTACTGCCCTCCTATTCAGTAGATTTCAAATCCTAAGGAGGAAAGGAAAAATGACCGAAAAGCTGGATCCAGCAGACCCAAACAGATCCTACGGTTCTGGTTGACAATGGACAGATGAGTTTGGAGGTCAAATAAAGTCCAGCCATCTGTTCAAAAATTGGCTAAAACGTGGGTCACATATCCAGGATCAGAGCTAAAGACAAAGGAAAGCAGATGTTTGATGAAGTTATAAGACAAAACATGCAACTCTCTGGACCAGATTTTACATGTAATAAAAGTCCATGAAAACCAAATTATTTTTATTATCTTTAATAATATCCTGTTTTACTCTTGTGATTCTAGGGAGTTTCTTTCCGAGAAATGAAACATTAATTTTTTATGTTGTTTGAATCCTGGCTTTTACTTTTATATTTTATTATCATTTGAATTCTTAATCCAAATATGCTAGATAATAACAAAATACCTGATGATTGTTTTTTAAACTATGGAAAATGGTTAAAATGAGACTAACCAGAAGGCTACTGGGTTTTATTGTTAATTATTTACTCTCTTGGATTTTTAAAAATGGCAATAATATACTACCTGTTCTGTGCTTAATAGAATAAGAGGAAGTCCAAACCTAGTAAAAACCATAAACTCAAAGAAAGCCATGGATGGAAAATAATGGGACCAGAAGGAGTAGTGGTATTATCTTTGCTGTGCTAATACAGAGATTTTTATTTTATTTTAAATGAACAGAAATCAAGGAAGACCTATACCAAATCTATGGCAACATATCAATTTCTGAATCATCAGTTCACATGGCTCATCATTTCTGAGGTGGACACAGATGACATGTCCATTAGAAGGCCTCACAGTGGCCCATCAAGGCAGAAGAGGCCAGTGAGCCTGCCTGTGCAAGTGTCAGAATACATGGACATCATCCATGTTTAAAAAAATATAATGAAGGTCACAGGATGCTCAACCAGTTTGTATTTCATGAAAGCACCGCTATGGCCATAAAAGATACCTACTGGCCTTCCAGTCTGGTAGTTTCCTAGGCAAAACTGCTGCTCAGATGATCTATTCACTAAAGACCTAGGAAGAGTGGAGTTAGTATTGGTCTTACATCTTCAATTCTCCCACACTTTTTACAGAGCTAGAAGGCAACATAACTCTAACAATGTGTTTCCTTCCCTCGAGATCACATCTTTTCTTCTAAACCTCCAATTCCAGGCAATCATCAACTACCCTTTTTTCCCTTCTTGACCTTTATACCATCTTTGACCTTGTAAATAATGTTACAATGTAATGTAACAGTGAGCCTCTGCCCACCCAGAAAACAGCCACCTGGGAAGTTTATGTACATGTAACTCAAGAGAAAGCAGAGGAATAAGCCAAAACGGCTGTCAGACGTCCATGTCTAGTAGTCAGTCCCCGCCCCCACATTTATTTTATATTCACTTCTGAATTATCTAATTCTGACAACTGATTGGAGACAGCAAATTACATAGTCTGATATTTTGAAGGAATAGACAGGCTAGAGCAGGCCTGGCAACCAAATAGATGCCTGAGGTTGAAAGGGGCAATGGCTGGTGAGTCATTGCCAGTGTGAGTCGAAAGACTTCACACCAGCCAGTGTGTGGCACCAATGAAACACCACTTGTTACCGCTATAGGTGGTAACATCATAAAATCTGAAAATCGGGAAGGACCCTGGAAACCTAGTCATGTCTCTTCCCACTGCAGGAACTTCTACCTTATTTTGCAGTGATGATCCAGTCACTGTATGAACACAAGGATTGCCTCACTGCCTTATAAGGAAGCCTATTCCACTTTGTAAAACATTCTTCAGAAATCTTGTTTTTGAAAAGTCAACAATTACTTCCTTGTAACTTTGATTTCTTGATTCTGATTCATTTATTCAACTAGCACTTACAGAGTAACTACCCTTATAGTAGACAGTACTCCCATAAAGATAAGACACATCTGGGCTGCATCCATCTCGAGAGACAAAGACATGAACACGAATAAAAATAAACCACCAACTGCCTGTCCTTCCACTGTCTCCCTTTCTTCATTGCCAAGTCGCAGCACCACTTACCTGAATCACACCTCCCAAGAAGGAAACAGCTGCAGCAACACCAATCCTTTGCATCTCAAAGTCAGATAAACCCACTATGCTTGTGTTACTCTGCGTGGTGAGGTTCTGGCTGCTCAGAGGGACAAGCCGTTCCACTGCATTGGCTGATATTAAGGATGTCAAGGCGAAGGTGCCTAAAAGGGAGTGATGGTGGGGGTGGGGGAATCTTCTGTTAGTAACAGACTCGATAACAATGGTTGGATTCCACCATTAAAGCTGAATCCATCTGCTGGGTGTAAAACCAGATAGATTTATCGGAAACACTCTTCTCAGCACCCCGACTCATCCACCCTTCTCTCCACAGAACAAACAAACTTCCCTACATAAACACATTTTCCTTCAACACACAGCCACACCAATCTCCTTGCTCTTCCCTCCCAGGCCTTACAATTTCCCACCTCTCTGAGCATGGAGAATGTCCTCAGGGCAGGGATTAAGATCATGGCCTGGACTTGAATGTCAGTCCTCTATTTATCAATAATGTGACTTAAAGGACATTACTCTGAGTCTGCATTACCTCATCCATAAAGCCTATCCATAATATCTACAGTTCAGGGCTTGGGGGAAGTATAAGTGAGATGATAAATATGAAAACCTCAGTAGGCTCAGTAGCTAACTACAAGCTCATTCACTTCAATTTTAAACCAGTACACCTCATTTCACACTTCTGACTTCTAAAACTGTAAGATAATAAACTTATCTCGGGTCAAGCCACTGAGCTCATGGTAATTTGTTACATCAGAAATAGGAAACCGACACAATCAATAACACAAACTGACCACTGAAGAAATAGACACATACTTAGAGGCTGAGATCTTAAGGGTACAAAATACATAGAAATGCCTCTATGGATATTTATAGTTAAAAGCAGATTTATTATTTTTAATTTAATATTTAAGACTAAGGTATCATTTTTGCAATAATAATAACTTATTAAATCTTTTCTAGAAAGTACTAAGTTAGACACTCTACATCAACTATCTCATCCAACTCTCACTACAGTCATATGATTTTTTTTTTTATTTCACTATCCAGAAAGCAGAAAACAGGCCTTTAAAATGCTGTCCAAGGTCATGCAGATAGCAAACAACAAATGAGACATACACCCAGGACCATCTAACTTTAAAACCCAGGTTTTTAACCAGCTGGCTCTATTATGACTATTTGTGATATTTCACCTTTTATTTAGTAATGCAGAGATAGGCAAGGTAATAGATATACTAATTAAAGGGCATTATAGAATCTAACTGAGAAGAAACCTAAAAGATCCTTCAGTCCAAATATCGATTACATAAAAAAACATTTTTCAAAATTTGAGTAACTAAATTCTATACAGTATTTTCTTTCCCTCAAAGTGTATAATTTCTCTTAATTCACTGTAAATTCAAAATATACGGCCTTCTCTTATGACCTTTTTACAACCTAAAAATGAAAAGAATCTTTAACATAAGCTTGATTACATAATAATATAGTAATATGGTATGGGTCGAGTATCTGAGGCACAAAGAGATAAATGTCTTGTCCTAATATTTGCTGAGGTCGTCAGAAGTAAAGTTAGAATTGCTTTGAAATGTAATCAGTAACTAATGAGCACTTCTGGGTCGCTTTCATTAGTAACATGAGAAGCATAAACATAGACAGAAATTATTACCTGTGGCAACATGACGTCCCATTCCAAATATGGCGTAAATGATGGCAGGAAACAGAGACCCATATAAACCGAACACGGGGTGCACAGATGAGAGAATAGCAAAGGCCAACCCTGTCAAGCAGACCCAGGTAGTTAGGATCACCTTATAACCCCAAGATACAGTCCACTACAAAGTAGAAGGGATATCGGTTTATTTAATGACAAAAGGGACTATGATTTAATGACTCTACTTGCTCAACGAGAGACTACATTACGATCCTCAATTACAGACCACTCCCTTATTTATATTTAAATTTCAATTCCAAAAGCTCTTATTTTTGGACCACTACTTTTCCCCTTGATTACAGAGACGTCTATAAGGAAACGTTGGTTCAGAGAGTCTTCCTGGTAAAAGTGATAACATCACAAGCAAAATATCTCCACACACACTTCGAGGACCATTTCTATACTTTTGGTATTATTTTATTGGCACAATAGCATCTGCAGCATAGGTAAGACTGGTAGTATTACCAATGACAGATGAAAAGGTCAGCAAGGCTGCAACAAGAAGGACACGCACTCAAGGGGGCCTGGCTGGTGGCTTCCTGGCCGGCCTCACCTTGTGTATCACAGGGGCAGGGCAGTGTGTGAGTCTGTGCTTTTCCCATCCTGGACTCCAGCCCATTTCAGATATAGTTTCTTAGAGTGAAAAACAACTTTTTACTTAAATAGTAAGGAGTAACTCATAGCTGTTCATTTTTATTCCTCATAGACACTACTGCCTACGTAGTGTGTATGTTACATACACATAGAAAACTTTCTCAGACATGTCTAAATGACCACAAGTGGTTTAAGCGTGACCGAAATATATGTGAGTGTGAGCTCATTAAATTGATCTTGCTTGTGGCTGGTCCTTGGCATTAAATGGCTAGTTAAGCTAGGTTCTGACATTTCCATTCAAGTCTACACAACTTGCTGATAGGCATTTGATTAAGCATAATGCACTCTATAAGTAAGGTACAAAGAGACTGGAGGAAGGGAGTGGTGCTAGAATACAGATTACCCAAATATGAGGTTAATTCATTATTCACACTATGGAGCCCAACAATATGGTTCCAAGATCATACTTTTTACTGTTTAACTTTTACTCTTTTAAAATTAGGCTTAATTTCTTTTTAAATATGTAAACTCTAGTTACACATCAGATATTTTTTCAAACCCTACAAGACATCTTACCTTCAATTAAAATACATAAAAGGCTACCAATGACCAGTCCCTGATTTATTTTTAAAAACTCATCTGGATTGCTGTTTACACACAATGTCTTATTAAATGTCTGATGAAAATAAATAAAAAGTGATTATAGAAGGGTCAGTGGCAGAGGCTGTTCTAGAATTTCAGGCATACAGGATGAGAGGCAGCACGCTGGTTATTGGGAAGGATGGTGTTAAGTCTTCCCCCGCCCCACCAACAAGCCCCTCCTGGCATTTATAGCTTATGCAACTTTGTAAAAAGCGTACATTGCATCAGCCAGGCAGAAAGCTAGAAAATAACTTTTTTCATTCATTTTCAGAATGAGTTACCTGAAAAAAAATTACCAATCAAGAGACAGAATGCTGAGTGTTTCCAGGTAAGAAATAACATAACCCACATTTCAGAAGATCCCCCAGATCTACTAAATCAATGATGGGGGCAAAGGGAAATTGCATGCAGCATCTTTAACAAAACATCTTGGATGAAATCATATGCATGCTAAATTTTGATAAATGTGGTAAGTCTCAGCAAGATAGGAGTTGGTCTATTTGACCACATTTTTATCCTACCTGCGGCAGCAAATGTAGAGACCAAGCTAGAAGCAGTGGGATCCTGCCTCTTGCCTCGTGAATAGCTACCTCTTTATCTGTTTGTTTTATTGCTATAATATCTTTCTGTCTTTCTTGCCCTCCCTCCCTCCCTCTCTTTTCCTCTCCCTCTCTCTCCTTCTGTCTGTCTCTATCTCCATCCCCCAAATCTATATATAGCAAAATCAGTTCAAAAACAGAATTTCTCTGGATCTTATATTCTTACCAAATTAAAATGGCACCATCGTGTAAAACATGTTTAACTCAAATCTTTAAGAGATCTCTAAACCCATATGTGCAAAACAATCACTTCAGTAGGTTCTACAAAAACAAGCTCAAAGACCAGAGATCCTGTAGACACTTCCTTCATTTCATCGGATACTGACACTGAGCTTTCCCTTTAAGCAACAGTGTCTTTCACCCTCAGCCAGAATCTGCTTCTCTGCTAAGACGGCAGTGAACAATGGCCCAAATAAAAGAGGAATGGACGAATGTAGATAAACAGTGCTTTAAAACTTCAAATACTCCTTCCACAAATAACCATAAAACCCAAGCCATCTTCCCACACATACCTCCAAAAGCACAGGCGGCTGGATAAAATTTTCTTATTCTGATTCATTTATTGTTCTGGATCACAACATAAGCCACATACATATTTTCATACACAACACACTAACCCAGCTAAAATATGTTAAATACTCCAAAAAAGGTGAAAGTATTAACTGGCTTGAGTCACTTACAAATTAGCCACATTATCTACACTCTTCTCCATGTTTCTAAAACAGGGTATTCGATAAATTAAGAGCAGAATTACAGCCCTCTAACTCTCCAATTTCGGGAGGAAAAACTTCAAATGCTAATAAATATTTGTATTACCCAACCTAGTTGAGATTGGAGGAGAAGCAAGACAACAAAAAGAAGGATCAAGAAATAAAAACAAAGTAAGTATTAGGCCACAGGGTGCCCAAAAGGGGATATAGAGGAAACAGAGAGCAGAGGGGAAAGGGAGAGAGAGAGGGAGAGGGATAGAGAGAGACAGAGAGACAGAGAGACAGAGAGACATTGGAGGAGGGAGCTGAAGCCTTAAGGTCTTTAGAGAGCCGATTATTTTTAAAGATCAAAAATCATATATTGGTCACTTTCTGAAGGCTTTGAAAGGTGCAGTTTTTAAGAAAACATGTTTTGTAGGTGTAGTGATGGCTACTACAGTACAGGAATAGGATAGACTCCATATTCCCGCGTCAATATCATCAGTAGTTTCAGGACTTGCAAACACTACCAAAATTTCAAGGGCCCCTGAGCACAAAGTCAAACATTGCCGACCAGTCCCTTGCCCCTCCAACCCAGGCAGGCTGCAGGGCCGTGCGAATGGCTTCCCTAAACACAGTGCCTGACCCCCCTGGGGAGGGGGGGT